ATTATCTAGTCTCCAACTAAAAATTAAATCCTACCAACATTTCAGTGTTTTCACATGACATTTTTAATTTTTTAAAAAAATGTTTTTAATAAGCATTAAGAAGTGAAGAGTTTTGTCGCAGTTTGGCATCCTTAGCATTCATATCACAGCTTGGAACTGCAGTCTTCCTTTTGTACTACAAATGCTGAAAGAAGAAATCAGGAAAGTGTGCTACTGGCACTGCTTCATTTATCACACCAAAGGTTTATTGATTGAAGACTGTATTCTATTTCAAAAAGCATTACCTGTTTTAAAGCTACAAGATATGGCACAGGATAAAGACTAAATATGTACTTTTCTAATGGCATGAACCTTAAGTCATTCTCAAAACCCACCCTGAGACGTTGGAAAGAAATACTGAGTCTTATGTGCTTTTATTCAGCTCCTGACAGTCGGATTGCACTAATACATAACACACAGACATATTTCCTATTTTAAGAAATCTGTTTCATCCTGTTACAAACAAATTGCTTTCGGCAAGCCTGGACACAGATACTGCACCCTTTCAGAGGCTGTAGGGTGTGACAACATGCAGCTCTTCAGAAACACACCGACCTTCTGGAAGCCATTCTACTGGCATCCTTGCAGAAGACATTGTGCTCAAGGAATCAGTGGTCTTAGACGAGTCATGTCTGCTCTGCTGGGCCTTGCACTTAGGGCTTGAAAAGCCTGTATGCTATTAATGTAATCTGTAACTTATAATATCTTTGGGAAAAGTAAGCTGTATGTGGATCAAGGGGTGGAATGTATTGATCCTGACTAGGCAGAGGTTCGTTACTCTGTTCCTCCAGTTTTTTCTTGCCTAGTTACTGTTTCTTTTGTTTGTTATATTTGAAACAGTTTTCCTGGTGCTCAAGGCTGTGCTTCTTCAATGACCATCAGCAAGCTCTTGACGATGCTGGAGCACCTGCCTTCAGCCTGCACCCTTGCTTTCAAGGCCTTTGTTATGATGGGGAAATCTAAGTGTGGGATGACAAACAGCAAGAGACACTTGCTATCAAGCTCTGCTTCACATGGTAGTTTCTCAAAACAGCCCGATAACAAGCCCCACAGGCCAGAGCTGGAGCATTGTGAAGTTAATATGAGGCAAAGTTAGTATAAGGCTGGTGGCACCTCACCAGCAAAGGCAGTCCTCTTCTCACTGAGGCACCAGGAATCACCCTTATGGGCAAGAGCAACACCTCTCCCACGCAAAGGCAGGAACCCACCTCACCCAGTCTAATGAAGTCTTGAGAACTGAATTATTATTAGCCCAGACCTAATTACCACTGAGAAAGAAAAGACTGCTGTCACAGACAAAAAGAAATTAAACCAACAAAAATAATGATACATTTAATATTGCTATACACAGATTCTGTAGGGCTATGGCTGGCCCAAACACCTGGACATGCTAGCAGATGATGGGGCCTTGGACAGAGGTGTCGCTGGCTGAGTAGGAGAAGACCCACCTCATCCAGAAAGACCAGAAGTGAAAGTCGGTGACCTGGTGAGGCACAGAGATGGGATGGAACTAGAGGCCATGGTAGTATTCAAGGCACCTGTGCTCATGGGTACCAGGGGCAAGGCTGTGTGCAGCTCTCACTGATGCACCTCATTATAGAGCATCCTGGACTTGGCCTCTTTGCATGTACGTGAAAGGAAACTTCCCAAAGGGACCTGGAAGGTGGAGAGGCCTCCTTTGGAAAGGTAGCAGCCTTCAGCTTCCAGTCAGCATGTTAACAAGGCAAATTCCCTGGCTCCTCCTGCCTGCTGCTCTTTCATATAATTCCCAGGCCACCAGGAAGCTGCTGGAAGCTTCTGTCCTACCAGACAGTGGCTGTGGGGGCAGCTGCACTTGCCCAGCCCAGCTGGGCACAGCCAGTCTCAGCTCACAGAATATGTTTCTTCCCTGGTGCATTCAAACCTCTCTTCTTCTGCTCTTGGCTGATTCACCCCAGCTGTGGCCAGGTTTCATTCATTACTCCTAAGTCATATTTGGATCTAGAAAATGTATCTCAGCCTATATGGCTAAAAAATCCATGGGGAGGAAAGAATTGTGTTGACAAGAGCCACATGCATCAAACAGAAAACCTCCCACCCCATCACCATGAAAGGGCCTGAACTTGGGAACTGCCTTTAGTACCTAAAACACAAGTAACATGGAAACCTCCACCTCATGGCTTTGTTCCTATACAATCTTCTTTAACATTAAAATATCCAATGACAAGCAAAAAGCACAGCTGAAAGTCCCCATATATGACAAAGTGTCAACTGCCTGTTGGAGCATGGAAACCATAGAGCAAAGAGGGGTTTAACTTGCCTGCATACAGCAAATCACTTGTTTCGGGCCTTCTTCATAGTGTTTGTCATTTAGGGAGGAAAAAAAAAAAAGATAAAAAGAAAAAGGAAAAAAAAGAGGGAAAAAAAAGGAAGAGGCTCTGATGAGACCAGCTATGCCTCTATTTTGTCAACGTAGATCTTAAGCTCGGAGCACTCTGGGCTTACTCTCTTACTCCAGCACTGACTTGTTCTGTGCTCATAGAGCAACCTTCTCTCTTTGGGTCATGGGAGAAAAGAGAGGCTCTGAAGGAAGAGGAGGTTAAACGCACCATGGAGGAAAGGACAGGGGGGTGAAGAAGAAGAACAGGGAAATCAGAACCGAGTGGATAAATAAATACAGTCTAGTGGAAACAGCACAAGTCCTCTTATTACATTATCTTGTGGTTTCAAAGGTCTGGTCTCTGAAGGTGAACAGAGAATTTCAGTATCTTCCTTATGCATCCTGCAGTATTTCCTTGGTCATCTAGCATAAGAAGAGTAGCCAAGAATGCTTTAGCATCCCCCCAGAAGCTGGATGCTCAAATGCCCACTAGCAGATAAGGAATGAGCATCCCAAGGCATGGGCAGCTGGAGGTGCTGCTTCACACAGGCAGTGAAAGCACACTGTGATCCTGTGTCAGTGTTTAGCTGCTCTGATATGGCATCACATCTGACCCTTAAAAGTCATTTCAATACCAATGATCTTCAAATTCTGCAATCACCATTCTGCACTTCATTCATTTCCATCTCTATTCCAGGTAATGATGGGTCAATCCTGTTCTTTAAAGACCCAGCATCTTTGAACCTTGATACAGCTAAAAGGTGTGTTAGAACCAGGTGTGCATCTTGCCTACTCAAATTGTGCCCAAGCTACTGGCTGGTGAGTTAATAATATGCAGAGCATGTCGTGAATCAACTCATTGCAGAAATATTGTGTTTAGGGAATTTGTTTTGAGAAACCAAAGCAGCCTGCTCATGCTTTTTTTCAAGTCAAGGGCAGAATTAACACTGACACCAGCTGAGACAGGAATTCTCTGACGCATCAAGGTTATATGATGTGTCAGTTTGTATATGCAGCTGCAGCATGCTGACCATGACTGGCCTGTCTACTGGCTCAGGAAACAGTGCAGCCATGTGAGCAACCACACCAGTCCATGGGCATGCGACTTTTTTGGGGGAAAAAGTGTATCAGAGAAAATCCAGACAGGAGTTTTGTTTTTTTCCCCCCAGCATGCTTCATTTGCTGCTTGGTACAGTCAATGCAGCAAAATAATTTCTCTGAACATTTGGTTTTTTGGTGTGTGTGGGGAGTCAACAAAGACCTGGTCAGCCTCATTTCATTATTTGCGTTCGTGCCTGGCTGCTGCAGGATGTAACACCTCGCTTTGTCTGGAAAGCAAGCAAGCATTCAGAACACATTACTCACAGGCTGCAGCTCCTGGCAAAGTCACCTTCATGCCACAGAACTCGCAGGTAGGGAACACTGCACAGTGACTGCAGCTTCCCAGGGAACACTCCAAAACCACTTGCCCCAACTCCTGCAATATCCTGTCGATATCTACAGGGGGAGATCCTACTCGGGCACAAACCCACTACCTACACAGTGCCTTATGAACTGTGCCCTGCTGCTTTTAAGGATGCAAAGGACCATTACAGCCTTGTGATTTGATTTTGTGCCTATCACAGAATGTGACAAAAGGCCAACTTTTCCCTACTGAGGCTACCTTCTCCCTATGCTCTGCCTACAATCAAGGGAGAGGAAGGCTCCTGTAGATGGCTACTGAGAAGACTATCTCAGGCTTCTCTACTATCCAGCTTAATGTGCAAATGCAATTAGTGTTCAAGCCACAACTGCAGAAAGTGACCTTCTGGTGCCTTCTCCAAATGTTGCTCACTCCAGTAATCTGTAATTCTGCTTCCAAGAACTGAGTGGGTTATGGCAGGTTGTGCTTGACCAAATGATTTAAAGAACTAGCAGGAGGCACGCAATAAGGAATTCCCCCATGCATGACTGAATGACTTGGCTGCATCATTCTCCCTCTCAGCTGTCATCTTGGGGCCTGCCCTGTAAAGAGCCAGTCATCAAGCTACAAAATTCTTCTTTTTAACTTAAATCAAAATCTAGAGGAAATAAAAAATTAATATCATTTTTCATGCAAAACTCCCCAAGACTCAGACAGGATTTCTCCTGGAACTCTGAAAGGACTAACCACAAGGAGACATAATTTAGTCTGTTTATACTCTATCAATTCCCCAGCAATAAAAATGCAGGTAACAGAGCTCAGTACAGTGATCAGCTTTATTTTGCAGGAATCCAAGTGCAAAATCAGCTTTGCTTTTGTCAGATACAGTGTTAAAATTGGAAAGAATGAAAAAATCTGAAGCAGACACACTGCACATTTCTTTCATCAGTTATTTCTTGTGGAACAGGTGTTGATTACATTCTCTCCCTTCCAGAGCCAAAGGCAAGCCCTAATCAGTAATCAGGCTGCCACGCTTATAATCCATGCACACTCAAGGGGCATCATGCATAAGCCTGACAATGTATCAGCTTACAAAAAAGTTGGCTGCCTTAACTAAAAGCTAAGTTGATGATTGTCTTCTAAGAAGAGAATATCACATTTCTCCACTTATTCTATCTTGTTAGGTACATAATGGAGGTATTATTTCCTTCCTAAAACAGCATCATAGAGTTTTCCAGTCCTCTTGACTTGAACCTCTCCAAAGCCAGCTGCCTCAAGGAGCTTGCTGTACGCTGCTGCTGTTCGCTCTTTTCCTTCTGTCTGCACCAACATATTCATTGAATACAGTTGGGTTTCTAGAGGCCCACTTCTATCTTCATTCAGAAGCGATTCAACCAGCAGCACTCCACCGCCTGGTTGAATAAAGAGAAATAAAACACATGCTGAGCTTTGAGAAGACGAGCTATTTTTCAGCTGAGTTATTAGATCCTAACCTTTAGTTTCAGGAAGAAGCAGCCGCTACATTAAGTCATTTTTCAGCACCACAGATGACAATGAAAGAGCAGAAGAATCGGAGCGTGCGTCTGCCTGGCTAGCGGGGTACTGATGTCGTGGGGCTGAAGGGGATGCTAGAGCTGGGATGGAAATTCCCATTTCCCCCAGCGGAAACACACAGGAGCTGGGCTTACTGATTTTGCTGAGGACCCGGCTCTGTAGGCAGTATCGTCAAAGCTGAAGGGTTCAATGTGATGCTTAATGGGATTTTTACTATGGTGTATACACATGTCTATCTAAACAATTCCCCAAAATCTCCAGTCCTTATACCTAAATATGTTGAAAGAAGTTCCTGTGGAGGAGAGTAATAATGGAAGCCAGATAATGAGAACTTAGTCCAGGCCCTATTTGGCTCAGCTGCACACAGCTGGCTTAGGAAAGCAAAATACTAAACCAAGAAAACCCTGCACTGAAACTCTGCCACCTGCACATCGAGACTGGTGTGCTTCACGTAACTGATGGGCGAGAGTCTCCCTGCTCTTCAAGAGCTCACACCTACCAGGTTTGCAAGCCTTGTGGACTTTTGCCAGCAGCTGCCTGCATTTGTCATCATCCCAATCATGCAGTATCTTGGATAAAATATACAGTTCAGCTTCGGGAATTGAATCACTAAAGAAGTCTCCTGTAAAGCAAGAACACATGTATTACACAACTCCCAAAACACAGAGGGCCGAGTTAAAGAAATATTTTCAGTTCTGTCCAGTTCTAAAGACTCTGGGCTTGCTATGTCCATCACCCACATCAGACAGCAACAGAGTTACCAGGTAAAAGTCCTCTGTGGCACTGCATAGAGGATTCTGTTCTGGTTCAGTCTCAAGAAGGTCTGAAATGTTTACAAGCAGCAGCTCATCTGAAACAGCCTTTGATGCACAGGGAAGCATTTGAGTCTAAGTTTTTCCCAAAGGCAGGAATTCAGATTCATAAAGGTTAAGAAGAGGAGACAGCTCCTCATGGTTTCTGTCATAGAAAAAAGGAAAGAATTTTCCCTTATGTAAGCAAATTTCCAAAGACCTTCAGTAACTACAGAGGTGCATCATGAATCCATAAGGAAAAAATACATGTCTCTCTACTCCTAGCTCTAGCTTCATCATCATGCCTTTTGTTCAGCACCTGGTGTACCACATTCAGATTTTTCTCTCTGCATCTTGCTTTGTCATTTTCACTCCCATTTCTTTACACCACTGGCACACATAACATTTCCTGTGTTTCTCTATCTTTGCTTTTGTATACTCCCTTCCTCAAGGCTTCTTTCCTCTCTCTGAGCTTCAAGCAATATTAAGTCATTCCAACACTTTGAAGGCTTTTGTAAACATTAAAAATTAGATCTCCCTACACTCATTTTCATCATAGATGGTGCAAAGACCATGCAAGATCTACAGACTGGACAAAAGGAATATGGGCTAGCTCACCCACATTCAAAGCCTGAAATATCTTAGGACTTGAAAGTCAATCAATCATGACCAGAGAAGGAATCCCCTTTGCTCAGAGCAGGCCTGGCATCCCGCACACCTGCCAAGAGGTCTGCACAGGAGAGAAGGGAGTGTTAGGAAGATTTATAAAATGGCATGGCAGTTTTTCAAAATTGCAGGACTTTTTTTTGTTAAAGTACCCTTGTTCTGAAGAAATCAAATAGTTCTGTTCAGGAGTAAAGAGCTTCTGGGTTGCTGAATAACCAAGTTGTGTCTCTGAGAGAAGGTAGCTGCAGGTGCACAAGTGGGGGAACAGCCCTGCAGTAGCAATGAATTACAGACATGGGCTGGGAAAGCTGCAGTCTTGGATGCTCTGCACATTTAAGGGGCAGCTGGAGACATGAGCCTCCAATACAGTACCTCTGAACAGAGACAAGGGGCTCAGGAGCAACAGCTGTGCCAACACTACATTGCTGTCCGCACCTACCTTCATGGAAAGTGATCTGATGCTCCTCAGGGGGAATAAATTGCTCTTTGGCCACTTGCACAACTTTTGGCAGGTCATAAATTGTGACCGTGGAATTTGGGTACAAAGAAACACACTCCCGGGCCAAAGCTCCTCCACCTCCTTTGGGGAGAGCAAAAGAAGGTCAGTGCTGTCACAAAACCTACCTGTTCGGCAACACCCCCATGAAGTGATGCAGGCAATGGTGCATTCAGCCTCATGGCAGCTGGCAAGGTACGTTTGCTCCCCACGTATTGCTGAAAGGGAAGAGGAGGGACAGGAGAGGCCACCATCTCCATTTGCTCTGTAGGAAGCCCCTGGGATCCCAGCACCCAGGACTATGGTGTCAGCCCCAGCCCTTACAGCTCTTACACACCCCCTCAGCCGGCCCCAGCTGTGGATGCTGGAAGGTGGGAAATGAAAAACAGAGCCACACAACCAGGCACTGGGCAAGCAATGATGAAGCCTGCGAGGGAGCCTGATGGCTCCCATGAATCCTGGCAGCATTCAGCAGCACTGGGACAGTGGGGTGCTGCAGGGTAAAAGGCTGCAGACAATATCACAACTTAACAACACTGACTG